ATTCCTTTGTTTTAAAAACTTTAAATTGTCTCGTTGTAAATAAATACTTTCATCCCTAGCCCTATTTAACTCCGCCTCCTTCAGCTCAATCCACATCCTTCTCTCCTCACTTTTTGAAGACACCCTGCTGAGTTGGTCAGTTAGGTTAGAATTCGCTAAGCGAGTTTGCATGAGACTACCACTTAAGTTAGAAAATTTAAATTTTAAGTCATTTAATTCTTCTTCATAATCTGTTACCGGAACTTTAAGTGATTTAAGGATGGATTGTACCTTTTTGATCAGCCGATCACAGTCGTTGATCTTCTCGCTCACGGGCTTGGCTGCAAAGCATTTGTCCTCAATTAGGTTCGGTTCCTTACTGGCACTTTCGGTTGATCCACCTGCTGTGACCATCAAACATCTTCCAGCCGAACCTGCTTCCTTTGCCACATACGCTCTTCCATGAGTTGGCTTTCTCACCTCTTCATCCTCAGAATCGGTTGACCAAACTTCAACTCCACCGAACTCATCTTCATCTGCATTCTCCTGCACAATCAAGGCATTCATAGAACTGTTAGTTGCCTTCTTTTTCTTGATCTCTTCCAACTTGCGCATGTAGTACGCCTCATCGTCTTCACCATCTCTTTTCTCAGCCATTTTCCTCAGCATGCAATCTTTGGCAAAGTGGTTCTTGCCATGACAGTAATTGCAGTCGAACCCAGAGTCTCCTGCAAGCTTGCTCTCCTTCTTGTCTTCATCCTTTTGAGAAGTATTTTTTGCTTCATCCTTCACCTTCTCAGAGCTGTAACTTCCTTGCCAGTTTCGGTTCTAGTTGACAGGAAATTTTCTTCGTGCAAACTTCTTTGGATTGGTGACCATCATAGCATACTCTTCGCTTGTAAGGTCACACTCAGACATATCCGACTCCTCTTCTTCTTCTGCAATACTTTTTCCTTTTGAGACAAGGGCCAACGATCCCACACCCGAAACTACCTTCGCCTCCTTGGTCACCACACTCTCATGGGATTTAAGAATTCCCACAAGTTTCGCTAGTGAGTAGGATTTAAACTGTTCATGTGCTTTCACTGTTGAAACCACAGCCATCCATTCTGGTCTCAAACCATTCATGAATGTCTCCTTTTGTTCGATCAACTTTCTTTCTATCCCATGCTTGATCATCTTACTTAAGAGATGATTGAACTGATCGAAAGTTTGTATCAGTTTTTCTTCTGGTTTTTGTTCGAAAACTCCAAATTCTGAGAGCAGTAAGGTTTGAATAGAGTGTTCTAAATCTTCATCGGTTGAGTAAAGTTCTTTCAACCTATCCCAGATTTCTTTGGCCGTCGTGCATGAACCAACTAACCGAAAAGTGTCAGATTGCAAGGCGAATCTGATCATTCTCATGGCCTTCACATTACACATCAATTTGTCCTTCTCATCCTGTGGCATCTTGTCTACGTCCGCCACCAGCTTGTTGTATTCTTTTTGGGTCTTAACAGTCGTGTTCGTTCCAGAATGAACAAACGGCCCAAGCGTGATGGCTTCCCAGATGAGATAACCATTATCTTCAGATCCGACCACATAATCTTCAAAGTGATGTGTCCATACTTCATAGTCTTGAGTGTAAAGAATGGGAATCCTGGTAGTGGATCCAATGCTGTTAGAGATGTTGATGGGATTTGTCTGAGAATCTTCGTGAGAAATGGTGAGCCGCTAGAATCAGACCTGTAAACTTGAGATTAGGGTTTTATCAGAAACATAGTTACCGTCGATAGGAAGAAGACGACTTCTATTTATACGATAAAAGCGGAAACCCTAACGAATTCTTAACACAAAAGGAATGTGTATTGATCACACAGTCTCCTGCTCTGATACCAATTGTTAGAACAAAGTTCTAGTAGGATCGATAGATTCTATGCAGGCAAACAATTAAGAACATAATTATGAACACAAGAATGGCTTTAAATATATCGTATGATTAATGCTTTAACACCTCAGAAGAGCTCGATTAAGAACTTCGACTGTAGAGGTGCTTAGGGTTACAAAACTATAATGATAATCGCGAACGCTAACTAATGCATACATGCATGCACTATATATATAGTCTAACCCTACTAGATAAACACGGATGGACAGGCCCAATCCGAATACAAAACACAAGCCCATGACGCAACACAATAAGACTCAACAGTCACTCCCCTGGACCCTCTAAAAACCTTTCCAGCACTCCACTGGGTCTCTTTGACCCATAACAGAAAAGGGGAATCTAGCCTCGGAGTCGCCGAGTCCCAAGAACGACTCGCGATCGATACAATCCAAGTCTTATTTCTTCGATTTCTGGTGTACAACTCTTGTCCAAATGATAGATCTAGGTCCCTAAACTCGATCTAGCACGTAAAGTTACGAACTTTTACGTGCATGCATGGGACCTTGAGTCTAAAAGGCTCTAAAAGAGACTCTTGGGTTGCATGGTAAGGAATGGCTTCCATGGGTGCAAAGCAGCCCCTTCTGCCTTGTAATTCCTCCATGGACCTAGATCCGAAGCCTCAACCCCAACCATGCTTGCAATCATGGTTGGTTACCAAGAATGGCTTATAAAAGCCCTAAATCTCCCCAAAAATGGATCTAGCAAAAAAACAAGCAAGGTATCGACTTTATACCTTTTGTGAACTGCAAATGGTGCACAAACTTGAACTCCCTTGGTCTTCTCTTGATTCCTCTAGGCCCTTCCTTCTTCCTTGTGATCAAGACACCAAGAATCACCACAAATCCTTTAGATCTTCACACACACAGTTAGGGTTTGCTAGGGGGGTTTCTGGAAGCAATAGGGACGAAGGGTGGCTGAATGAGATGTTTAAATAGGGTTCAAACCCTTAGATTAGGGTTTTGTCCAGTCAGGGCCTACTCGTCGAGTCTGCAGCCGACTCGACAAGTCCGTCATTTAAATCCCGAATCAAATCCGTTTCTACTCGACGAGTTGGTCCTTCAACTCGCCGAGTCCCAGGCCAAAAATGCAAAATACCTAAATAAAATACATACCAGGAACCAGGTGCTACATGTTGGTTTGCTAGAAATTCCCTTTTATTAAATAATTGTTACCTACTATGAAACTTCTAGAGGTATAGTGGTTAGTGACAAGAGATTTTATTTGAAATTAATACATATTCTTTTTCATTATTCTTAGAATCCCACAACCTAAATGAACAATGAACATATCATCTTCCCCATTGTTGTATCTAACTAACAATCTCCAATGTTCATTTTTACTTTGCCACCCATGTCTATAACCATTAATTAATGCATAGTTTTGTCAGCATTATTTCATTTAACTCGAAGATTCAAATCTCATTCCTAAAAATGGTTTCATTAACTTCCAGTGTTGGTTAGGATTATGGACAGGAAAAACATGTTTTTTAGAATTTCCATGATCAATAACTTCATTAGATTCAACTAAGTACATCTTCCTTGGCTTCACCACTAGGACGAAGTTTACTTAAAAATTTACCATTCATTGTGTTGCTAAAAGATTGGATTTACCTCATCTTGAAGAACATGCTCGAAGGAAATATCTTTTACTGAAATTGAATACTCTGCCTCGTCATCTTCTTCAAACAATATGGCCATCTCATTAGCCTTTATGGTACTACTTCATCACTAATCCGTTAAAATAGAAGCTCATTAAACCAATCCACATAAATTGACTTCGTACTTCCAATTCTATAATTGTAGTCAACAAATTGAATATAATCACATCATCTTCCAACTAGCCATGACCCAAGGCCCAAACTCGGTTAATGAACCACATGGATTTCTATTATAGACTCACAACTGTTTGATACTATTTTTCCCATGAATGATTTTGATTTCATTAATCATAATATATACAAATACAATGGGCTAGCTAAGCATACATGCTAAATACATAATACACTATATACACTAATACACACCCACAGTTTGAGCGGGAGGTCTAGAGCAAACGCTCAAACTGGATCTAAAATTAGAGATTAGAGAAGTTGCTAGCCCTTTCGTGAAGATATCTGCGTACTGAAGAGAAGAGGGAATGTGGAGAAGTCTTATATGACCGGTTGCAACCTTGTCACGTACGAAGTGAATGCCAATCTCAATATGCTTTGTACGTTGATGTTGCACCGGATTGATGGCTAAGTATACCACACTTACATTGTCACAATACATAATTGTTGCTTTGCTGAGAGGAGAATGAAGTTCTTGTAAGAGGATGCGAAGCCAACGTGTATCTGCAACAACATTTGCAACACCGCGGTATGTAGCTTCAGTACTTGATCTAGATACGATAGATTGACGCTTTGACGACCATGACAACAAATTGTCATCTAGAAAGAAAAACACAGTAACCACTCGTAAACCGTTGTGTGACTTGTCATCCACCTCGGTCAGCGTCTGAATAAGCAATGATGCTCGATGTGGTGGAACAATGTAACTGAAGACCATGATCCAAAGTGCCCTTGACGTATCGAAGGATCCGTTTAAGGGCATGTAAGTGAGGTTCTCTGGAATCATGTTCTGATACCATGTTTGATACTATTTTCCCATGAATGACTATGATTTTATTAATTAGAATATATACAAATACATTGGGTTACAATGGGCTAAACATACACACTAAATACATAATACAATATATACACTAATAGCCGGTGCACGACAAACAACCTAGAAACGTACTCCAATCGGTAGATGGTGACATATTTGGGACTTTATATTTTAAGTTACCCCAATTTGATATTCAATGATCAACAAAATCGACACTTTGATAACTAATTTTATCAATAATCGTATAAATTATCAAAGCTGATACAAAGTAATAAGTATTATTTTATCATAGTGTTTATATTTATTATAATACTTTATAGTAGTTTAGTTTAAAAAAAAATATATTATTTCGTATTAACGAAATGATTTAAATTTTCTTTTCTTAACAAAACATCGAATGATATGTATATATATTACAGGATAATATCGAATTTATATTTGGTTGGTTATGCGTTTAAATAATGTCTAACTTTGCGTGCTAATAATTACCACCACCATCGCCGTTACCAATTACCATCACCAAGCAACAGTCATCTCTTCCAGTCCACACACCGACCATCTACAACCACCACGCACCACCTTCTGACCTACATACAACTACTTTACAATCAATCACACACACACACACAACCCAAACTTTACAGGGACACACCACACAATTCTCCTACAGGAAGTCCTCAAAATGGCCAACTTGTATGTCCAAGCGGTGCCGCCGACGGATCTCAACAGAAATACCGAGTGGTTCATGTACCCCGGCGTTTGGACCACCTACATACTCATCCTATTCTTTGCTTGGCTCGTCGTTCTCTCCGTCTCCGGTTGTTCTCCTGGCATGGCCTGGACCACTGTTAATCTCTGTCACGCTCTGGTATACTTCTTATTTCATTTGTTCTGATTTCATTTCATATGTTTCCGATTTTAATTTTAGTTCAACATGCCGGCATGCTTGATCACCTTGTTATGATCGCGGTAGAGTCATTTTGCTTTAATTTTGTTTGTATTGATGGAATTATGATGTTACTCCATCTGATTTTAGGGTTTTGAAGTATGAACATTCTGTGCAGTTGCTTGATCTGTGTTGATGATTGTTTTATTAGTTATAACTAAAGTTCATGCTATGACGAGTTTAGATCTATACTTGTAATCGCAAAAAGTGGAGATAGAAGAAGATAACTAGAGTTGATTCGTGCTTTCTACGTGTTGCAAGTAAATCCTTTGGTATTGAAAGATCTGCGACATCTACTTAGGGTTTGAGTTCTATGATAAGCTGTTCAGAGCTGATACAGATGAAACTGGTTTGAGCTTGAATTATTGTTATGAGTCGTCAGTTGTCACTCTTACTTGTATGTGAATCACCATAACTTATCTTTTGGGAGGAATTGGGTGCTACTATGGGAGGTATACTGGAGCTTATTGATGAGACCCTGCACTCATGCTTATATGCCATTATATATATGATATGATATATCAAAGGCATATGTATTTGTTGTTCCTTTGTTCTCAATAGGTGTATTTGTCACCAAAAAAGCTACATTTTCTTAAGACCAACCAACCTATTCATCATGCTCCAGTCTCCATCATATGTTGCTTGCATATGCATGGAATTTTGTTTGTATCTAGATAAACTTACGTGCTAATCTTTGTTTTTCTATTAGGTTACATATCACTTCTTTCACTGGAAGAAAGGAACACCTTTTGCTGATGACCAAGGTATCTACAACAGGTTGACATGGTGGGAGCAAATTGATAGTGGCAAGCAGCTCACTCGCAACAGGAAGTTTCTTACTGTTGTGCCTGTAGTGCTGTAAGTTCTCTCAGTTTCCTTTAGTCATATCATATCACAATAAATTTTGTTTTGGTATTATTGAATATTGAATTTTGTTAGAGTGCAGACTCTGCTCTAGTGAATTTTTCCACATTAGGTGTTTTATGTATAAAGTGCTGAATGGACAAACACTGTTTCTTGTTTAAGACATAATGAATCTCCATTGAGAGTAGATGACCATTTCACCCTTCTGTTTAGGATCAAATCAAAAGAAGTAAGGGTGAAGGGTAAATAGGTAAAAAGGAGTTCTGAATGGATGTGACTCAACCCATTAAGACCTTCTGTATGTATTAAGTGAAAAGAAACACCTCTGTATATCTGTCCCATTAAGTCCATTAAGTCAAAAAGAAAACTGTCCAGTGTGTTGTGTGCATATGATCTGTTTCTTTTCTAGACTGAATAACCCTTCTAAATAAGACTAAACGACCATTTTACCCTTACATCCCATAAAACAAATTTCACAATATCCATCAGGAATTGGGAGGAAAAAAGAAGGGTGAATAGTCCAAATTAAGTAAATAAGAAACAACCATGTATAGCTGTCCAAATTGAGAACTTAACCCATTAAGTCTATAAATTCAACAAGAAAAACACTCACTTGAATTATTTTAAGATCATTTGTTATGTGAATAAATGTGATCATTTTTTTTTATTGTGCAGATACTTGATAGCATCACACACAACCGATTATCAGAACCCAATGCTGTTCTTGAACACAATAGCAGTTTTTGTGTTGGTGATTGCCAAATTCCCACATATGCATAAAGTCAGGATTTTTGGAATCAATGCTGAAGAGTGAATCATGTTTCTTTAAAAAAAAGGATACTAGTTCAGCTCTATCCGTGGATATATATGTGCATCTTTAATTTTGACATATCATGACAATTAAAAAGGTTTGGAACTGGATAAAAAAAAGGTATATTAACTTTTTTGTTATATTTTTTTTTTCCCTTTGTGTCTTGTGGATGATCCAAAAACTAGAAAAAAAGACTTTTCTTGTGTCTTTTGGTGGTTGATTTGTAATGCTGAGTGTAACATCTCTTGTAGGGTTGTTTGGAAATATTGTTTACTCAATTTTAAGAACAAATATTTTCTCAAAATGTTGTGGAAAGTGCCATATTTCTCAAATTACAACATTAATGCAAAATGCTAAATAAAAAGTCTGATAAAAATCAATCAGTATTATAGACAACTAATAGAGTAGTGTCTACTATTCACATGCATGATTTAATTACTCTCCAAGTGACTTTCCTTGTCTTAACTTCTCTATTTACCACGGACGCGAGTCGTATGTCCAAAATAGTACCATAGTCTATACTAGTCAGTTGTACTAGCGAGTCACAAATGAGTTAAATATATGGATCAAGGAACAACGGAGCCTTTTAAAATGGTTGGATAAAAAAATAACCATTGGATTTGAGTTGTAAAAGTCTGAAAAACATGTGCAATTGATTATTACAAAACACGGAAGTTTGAGGGACATTTAAGTAAAAGTAGAATTCTCGTCTATGTTTACCATGCTAACGGTTGTAACGGAGAGGATTTCGAAAAGAGTCACTCTTGCCCCAAAATTACATTTTACGAACACACAGTGAATCAATTCATTTTTCTCGAAAAAGACAGTCCATGCACCTGCGACGACTCTATTCAACTGAGTCAACCACCGTCATCATCGCCGGAAATTCATCAAAATCATGAATCCCGAAGGTAAGTCATTGAATGTAACTTTTCATCATTTAATGATATTCCGACATTTTTTTTGTTTTCATTGATTTAAACAAATTAATAACGATTTAACACAGATTTCTATCCATAAATGTATTAACCGTTGATGAATCTGGACTATTTTATGAACTTCAACAAAATTTATGTAAACCCTAATTTCATGTGAATCTATATTATTCAAATATCGAAGGAATAATTCATATGATAATATGAATCTAAATCATATTATGAGAATAAAATTATTTGTGAATCATCAAATAACAACATATGGAAGGAATAATTTCAATAAAATTAATCTAAAAAAATTCAAATTGTTTTCTATAAACAACTAGGTGTGAGACACATGTATTACATGAGTTTGTTTAAAAAAAATATGAAATTTTAACAATTTGAAAAGTTTGAATTTATGAAAAAATGAGAAAAATTTTGAATTATTAAAATTAATGAGACTTTAATGTATTGAATACATTACATATATAAACTCTTTCTAATAAATACATTACATATATATTACCTTACATATTAAATGAGGAATTTTAATTTAATAAAATGAAAAATACAATAAAATGACAAATGGAAAATAGAAAATTAAAAAATTCTAGAAAATGTCATATGTCCAAATGAAGGAGAGGAGGACATGTGACAAAAAGTTCTTTATTTATTAGGAAGGATAACTTGTTGTGAATTAATATAGTACGGAGGTTACATGTATAATTTCTATAAAGGAATACCAATCGGTTTTCGAGATCGAACATGTTCATTCTAAAAAATAGTTTTTTGTTTTTTTTTTTTTTTTTTTTGTTTTTTTTTTTTTTTTTTTTTTTGGGGGGGGGGGGGGGGGGGGGGGAGGGGGGGGAAATAGTTTGAAACTCGTTTTTTATCACTTATGTTTATTCATGTATATATTTTGTTTACTTGACTGTTTTCATATGAAATTGTCGCAAAATGTGAAAGATGTTAAACCAACAAGTATAAATGAAAAAAATGAAGATATAGAGAATAAAACACGTTAAAACATTTACAATGTGGTATAATTTACATTTATTGTGTTATGGAATACAAAATTTACATTGTGAATATGTATTTAATGAATATGTATTTAAGAGATCATATTTTTGTAATGGTGCTTCACATGTTGAATTATTAAAGAGAAAATCAACATTATAGACCATATTACTATAAATATTGATTCACATAGTGAATTCACAATGTGGTATAATTTGCATTTATTGTGTTATGAAATGCAAATTGACAGTGTGAATCTGTATTTGAGAGATCATATTTCTATAACAGTGCTTCACATTTTGAATTCTTAAAGAGTTACATTGAAAATATTGATTCTCATTACATTTTTATGTTGTAATATTGATGCACATTATGAATTCAAAAGTGTTTGTAAAAATTCATAGTGAATTGAACATCCTGGAACCCTTTTTAGATCCCTCATTTGCTTTCTCTCTAGCGCTCTTGATTCTTTTACCATCGACCCATCCTTTGTTTCTAATCCCTACTAGGTTGTGAATTCAAGTATTGGTGCTCCAAGTCTCTTCTCAATGTGAACTAATCTATTTAAAGATGCCCTTGATGAAGTACATAAAGAAATACCACTATTAATCTCCCAAAGTAGCTTTATAAATTTATTCAACTCATCCTCATTATTTGTTATCTTGCTAATGGACAAACAAATAATAACATACACATCTTGAATCAAACAATCATTTTAATATGAAAAATATATGATGACATATTTAATGGAATTTAATCAAACTCTTTCATATTTAATATGAAAAATATATGACGACATAATACTTCGTCCTGGACAAAATCCTGAACTACAACCGATGGTATCATCCTTTTTACTAAATAAAACCTACAAAATTATCATTAATAACCAAATAAACATCTGAATAAGAAACTCTATTTCATACCATTCAATAAAAATCATCAGAATATTCTTCCTCATTCCCTTTTTTATCAATCAACGTTTTTATCTTCTTTTTATCTCTCAAAACATAAACTTCACTTTCATCTTCAGTAACTACAAATTCTTGAATGCAAAAAATACAGAATTGTATAACTCTTTCTGTATGTCCAAGAAAATATTATGTGTATAAATTTCTAATGCATGCTTTTTAATAGGCAAAGGAGTCCTTAGCTTGGGGGTGGGTAGTTGTGCTCTGATAATGTAACATCCAGTTTTGAGAAGTTTCTAATTTCAGGATAGCGGGCCGTAGTATGATCACGTAAATATTTTGGGCTTCATGGGGTTAAATTTTAGACCTTATTGGTCGTAGATATTATTGTTTAAGTGAGTTAAGCTCTTGAATTGCGTTCTAGAGCCAAAGGGTAGAATAAGAAAGCAATATTTGGACTCCTTGATTTAGTTCGATATTCATTGAGTCAAAAGTAAGTAGATAGAAGTGTGAGGCTTATCAATACCTTGGTGTGCCTATAAACATCACTAAAAACAGAGTTGAAACGAAGAAGTTATGGCTGTTTGGAGCTGAAGTGGATTTTGGAAAAAACAAGTTCACCACGACGTGGTGAGGAGTTCTCCACGGCGTGGAGTGTAACGCCCGTAGATCCGGGCTAGTCGATTTAGAGATAATAGGGGTCGAAAACGATTTAGAATAAATAATCTTAACCAAGTTGTAGAATATGTCTCAAGGTTTCCGTACATATAAAGAACGCCGAAATCCGAGTTATAACGAAGAAGTTATGACCCGTCGAAGTTTTACGGCAGAACCAGCACGGCACCAGGAGACGTAAATAGTGAATTTACGATAGAGCGACTTTTAGCCTTAGCGATCTAAACGAAAGTCGTAGAATACGTTAAACCGAGAGCGTCCATAAAAAGAACGCCCAAATCTGACTTCGTATGAGGAAGTTATGATTTTTCGAAGTTTCGGCTTAGCAGTGTACAACCCGAAATTCGAATATAAGATCGAGCGGTTTTTAGCCGACACAACCTAAACGAGAATCAAAGATCTCGTTATTAGTAGCATAACGATAAAAAGACAGATGAAAACGGATGTCGGATGAAGAAGTTATGAATTTTTAACGGACCAATCCTGTCCCGGCCTGTTAAAAATATAACTTTTAAAATAAATCAAAATTAGCCGACGGAGTCTAAACGAAAGTTGTAGAGTACGTTCCCGCCTACGCGTGGATATAAAGAACGTCGAAAACGGAGTTCGTATGTGAAAGTTACGAATTTTTAAAGTCGAATGTGCAATTTGCGAAATCTGCGAGAAGGGTGATGACGTGGCCGCATCTGAGCCGTTGCTTGTTGCCCAAGGCTTCGCTTCGGATCACGCCACGTAGCCTCGCAATTACGCCCCGCGTCCGAGGCCGGGTACGCCCCGCGTACTTCGATTCTTATCCATCCGATGTGCGAGCCAGCTGGTGCGAAGCTGGCACCCTCATCCGAGCACTACGCCCAGCGTAATCCGAGGCCTCGCAGGCTATAAAAGGGGGCGAGGGTTTCCGGATTTTTCACACCAAAATCACTTCTCTCTCTAGTTTTTTTCTCTCTCTAAGATCCCAAACCACCCCTAAACCCTAGGAAAAACCCCTAACACCTAATGGAAGCCCCGAGGCTCCCGGAGTCCCGAGAAAAAAGGGTCTTTCGGTTCGGAAACGCTGCTCCGAGCAAAACCCGGTTTTCTTTAAAATTCGCTGTAAGTGAGCTACGCCTACGCAATTTTTAATATAACTTTTAAATAATTATAGTAATGTTATTAGGTCCTTAAAATAATTATTTGGGCTATTATTATGAGTTATATTGAGTGTTATTTAACGCTTATATAATAATAATAATATCTAGACTATTAATTAATCGCGGTTAACGTTAAAACTAAACCCTAGTGGTATTTATACTAGGTTTTGTCGAGGGAAATTGTTTTAAGAAGTAACGAAGCGCTGTTCAAGTGCAGAGACACCACATTCCAGGTGAGTGCATAGTTACTTTCATCTTACACATAGATATGAAGTATTTTATATAAATTACGTGCTATGTGTGCATATTATCTGTATACTTGCTATCTATGCTGGATGAACGATTTTATACATGTTTTAAATGATTTAATATATATATATATATATATATATATATATATATATATATATATATATATATATATATATATCTACGAGAATATGTTGGGTAAAACATGCGTAGATATAATATATGGAATATGAGTTGGATGATGAGTTGAGAGGTGTTATAGACCACAAGGTGAGTGTGAGAGGTGGACGTTGTGAGAAGCCTTTCCCAAATGATGGCCCCGTCATCTAGCAGAGTATGGATAACAACCACGGATT